ATGCCTTCCAGTAATTTTGAGAAGTACAAGAAATTTCTCCGAGGGAAAAATATATCGGATTGGGGAGAGCCTAAGTTTCTCAGTTTTTAGTTGTTTAGTTCATTGAGAATTCAGAGTACTGAGATATGTCTGAATTAGCTTCACACTTTATATGAGGTTTGCATTGCATTGTGTTCAATGTCCTTAGTACTCTGAAGTGTAACTTCCGATTGCAGTCTGTGATAGTATTAAGAGCTGTATGACTATTTTTGTGTAAAGTTCCAGAACTGTGAAGTGTTTCCTTTGATGAAAGAAATTTTATCAAGCTATCATCAATTCCATGTTATCAATTTCCATCAATCTATTACAAACCTGTATGCACACAACAATACATTTATAAACAATGTTTTTTGCTTTTCTCCCACCAGCTAAACTAGCCATCTGTTGCTACAAAATCATCTTTCCCAATTTTTACAGGTAATTCTCCAATTTTCAGCTGCATGAATTGGACCGCTGAATGTAACATTTTTTTCATGAACATCTGCAAATGAAAGCTTTAGCACTTTCTCAACATTGTAATCTTTCTGGCTATGCATCTATTTCATGCTTTCATTTTCAAATAATACCTTTACTATCCTCTACACAATCTCTTGTGTCTTGCACAAGAAGGGCTGAGAAATATTCAATTTAAGAACAGAACTCTGTTGACTAAATTTGCGAGCTAGACATAGTGTAATAACAAGTGAACTTAATCCTTTAGATCATTATCACTTTTGCTAAAACGCTGCTATATAAATAACTAAACAGAATATAATAAACATATCATGCAACAGAATATTCATAAAAAAGTAAAGTTCAAAATAACAGATGACATTTTTGGCATGAAACATTAGGTTACCTGGAACTCAGCTTCATTATACTGGTTAGTCCATTTGATCTTCCTATAAGATTTAAAAAACAGGTTTCTTTTACATGGTTGCTTTAAATTAAAATTTGGGTAACTAGTGATTTGATCCCTTGCTTGGTGACACCTCTGATACATTTGGTATTTCATCCTCATTTGGTAATTTTGTTTCATTTCACGAATTGACTTCAATTTTATTCTATAATATTTTGATAACTTACTTGTTGATCACAATAAGCAATGTATTCTTCATGTCTTTGCACATATATGTGAGAAATTTGGCAATTTGATAATAACATCCAAATAACATTAACAGTTATCACAATAAGTGGCACATTCTGCATTCAACAGCAACGTATATGTATGAACAAGTCTAATGAACATACAACATTCATAAAAAAGCAATGTGCAGAATTCAATCTAAAACATTCAAGTTTATGAAGAAATCTTCAACCTCAAATTTTTCCTTTATAAGTCCTCCTCAAAGATATCCATATCATCAGGCAGATAACTTTTATATTCTCTGCCATATTCAAGAGTACTAAATGACTGTCTATCACCCTTACATGATGGAAATTGAAAAATATCCATTATGATTTAAAAATACCGAGCAGCCATTAAAAAAAGACCACAGATTATAGATATACTCTATAAACTAATACCTTCTCATCGATACTGTTTTTAACTTTGTACTAAAATATAACAATGCTCAGGAAAATGGCCATTTCTTCAGGTTTCTAGTTATATTCTAGTTAAATGGTTATTTGCCTATCAATTCAGCAAATTTCTGCCTCAGTGGGTCAGCAGTTGTTGATCAATCATTCATTGGAGAAGGATTATCAGCCATTTTCAACTTTCCTTCATCGAAAATGTAATGATGATAAATCAGAAACAGTAGTCAATAGTGCATATATGCCTTACAAACATCCATACCTTTTCATGGATTCAAACCATGCACACATTCATACTTTAACTTCACACAGATTCAAACAATGTCATTTTTATATCTAGCCAATAATTTATGGTTTTTAGGGGGGGGAATAAAGAGTAACAATCCTAGAATGTTCAATTCAGTTCATGAAGTTAGTTTAGATGAAAAAATTACACATATAAGTATCATAGTTCAAGTTGGGAAAAGAATTAAAAATGATGACAAAGACAGCAAAAATGATCGCGAATACCAATCTCAGTACTCATAATTCAAGAATGTAATTTCATAAAATGCAGAATTTCAGTTTTTAATATAAAACTTTTTAATACAAGTACACTATACTTACACATAGTGATTAAAGAAGCTAATACATTCCATCACTGAAATTATTTAACATCTTCTTCATATGTCTCTTTTAATACTAATCCCAGACCATGAGAATTTGAATTTTTTCATAAACATAAATTACTTCTATGACATATGTAAGAATACACTTCTCCACACATTTTCAGACATGGACTTTCACCTTAAATGCACTTTGTAGCTTATTTTTTTTACATTCCACAGAACAAAGGCAAACTTGTTTACATTGTCAGAGAATAACTTAAGATGTTTGTGTGGCATTAAAAATCAAAAATTGAATAACACTGGAATAAAAACTTGAAATTGTCTTTTAATAAATCCAAAATTTCAGTTCTAACACTTCTTGCAAGTTGCTAGTGAAGATATTCAATATCATATGTGCAGAACATGATGGATTTAGCATAGAAATTCAATTTAGGAAAAATCACACAGGTTACATTTTTGCACACAGTGTTATCTCTTAATTTATCTAGCTTTTCTTTCATTTAAGAGCACAAAAGTCACATAAAGAATTTTGCAATTCTTGTCATTTTTAGGAAAGAGTTCCTTTAATTAAAACCATTTCTAATAGTTACCGCTTTTTTCACCCAGTTTCTCCCTTGCACTGCATTTTTGGAGGCATATAAACGTATTACAAAGCATAATATTAAATCCTAAATATATCCTGATTAATTCCCAGACAATGATTTTTGTTATTTATTTATTTGGGGATGATGTATTATCATAAAACAAAAATCACACAAACTGGTTCCAAGTATCAGGTTTTATTTCATTCAGATCTATATCTGTCCAGGTCACTTATGCACCTATCAGTAAACAACTTGTTTTTTAAAAAAATACCATTAGCGGCTTTTAGAAATATCAATTCAGTGATGATAAACTAAAAGAACTATTTCATCTTTAGAATTTCATCACATAATTTAATCTTCTGTTGTGTTGTCAAGAAATTGAAGATGAATGTAAACAGAGAGCTAGTTTTTAATTCCTTTGCAGCTCAATTCCTATATTTATGCGCAAAGAATCCAAATTTCATGTAAAAATTAGACAGAGAAAGATGTAAAAAGAAAGACGACCTCTGATTTGCAAAATTCACTTATACACAGGACCCTTAGTCGAGGTGTGTGGATTACTGGAATCCTACCATACATTTAAGAAAAATTACTATTGTTATGTAATATATTAAAGAAGTTTATCTGTAGCTGAGGCAAATAATTATTTTCAGTGGTCTCTGTAGCTGAGGCAAATAATTATTTTCAGTGGTCAGATGCACCACATATAACTTTTTAGATAGAACATTTAATTAGTAATTTTTGTTGCTACTAGATGAAGCTATATGCCTGTTACGGTAAAATTTATCGAAAGTGAAGCATGCTGACCTTTATTCCTATGCAATTTTTTTTATTTTTGGTACTTTGTTTCAGAATGAGATTCGTAGGTGTTGAGGGATGTATTGGCGCCTTATATGGTCAGTAGATATAAAATTTAGGTGTTATCCATGCTTCAGAATAATGTTCCTCCCCCCTTCCCTTACGGGTTCTACTGTGCAGATATGATTAGGGGGTGAGTTTTTTTATGTCCATCCTGTATAACAGAAATATTATTAAATACTCTGCTTCAAAGTAATAATTACAGATCACATAAATTATTTCATTTGCTCATTAAATTAGCAAATAACATAAATAAAAAAATTAATATCTGAATTAACAAAATATCCTTATTTTCCTAAAAAACAGAGAAATTAAAAAATTTGTCAAAAAGTAATTCGTCATTTAAATACCACAATTCAACATCAGTCAAAACATCACTACCATTCAAAAATGCTCATATGTTCTACGTATCTAGGCATGCAAACTCATCTTTGTTCCACCAAAATATGAAGCTAACGTGCTACCTTTAACATTCCTGAAAATGAATATGCCACACAAAACTTGGTTAATCTTTCTGAGAATACCATTCGTAGTCTGGCTTAAATAAAGCAAAGCATACAAGGGTTATCTGCCTACAGAGATAACTTCAAAGAGGACACCTTAGGAGAAACCAGCCTATAATTCTGTTACACGTAAGGTAAAACATGAAAACACCAACACAGCCAGTCCATTCACCAAGATTTAAACTTAAGTCAAAATATCAGTGTTCTTTGGCCTTATCTACTTGGCCGCTGGTGGGCACATATCTTCAAAGAAAGCAGAATAAATAAGATGATTATAAATCTGTAGAAATATAGATTTATCTATATATAACCATTCAAAATTTGGTTATGTTCCAGTGACTTTAAATTTCGAAGAACAAAGAAAGCTTTCTTATAAATAAAAAGTATTCAATACAATAGATATTTGAGATCTACATTATCTACATAGTGCCATTAATTTTAAATTTGATTACTTAATTTAGAACATGAGAGCTGTCTACACAAGGTCCACCTCAATTTTAAGTTGGAACAACACAGGAAATAAAATCTGAAACTAGTAGTCCTCTTCCTCTACTGCCAAATCTCTTCAGATGACTTCTGGCTCAGCAGATTCTAAGTACTTGCATGCCCAAAAATACTAGTCACAAACATACCTGATTTACCAAGGATTTGAAATCGAACTCAACAGCATGAGAACTAAGTCAGCCACTACTAACAAGCCTGCCATGATGACCAAACACAAAGACTTTTACAAAACAAAAAAAAAAAAAAAAAAAAGGCATATTTTTCTGCTCAGTTTAATTTTGCTAATGTAGCAGTAAACACTACATTTCTCAGCAGTGAGTTACAACCCAAAACCAAATCTACACAAAAATTAGAAGCTGTTGGAAAAAAGAAGAAATCAGGAAAACTACCTCTTGGATTGCATTCATTACATCATGCTGTATATCTTCTTCCAAACCCATCAGAGCTTCTATATATTCTAAAAAAGAAAAATCACATTAAAATATGTAAAGTGATTTTAACTTCATTATGTGATTTAATTTCAAAGTCGTTCATTTAAAAATAATCTAATATTTACTGTAAATATCCTAGTAATCTTATGCAATATAGACTCTGCTATGCAGATGTAGATACCACACAATGTAACTCTACAATGGTGCTTCAACATAAAAGCCAGCTTAGGCCACCATCAAAAATAAACCCAGAAAGAAAATATCAGTGTTCCATGGTTTTAAATGCCTTGGAAATGCTCAACCCTGATGATCATTTAGTACTGCATTTTAGAAAATGAGAAGATTTTGCACAGAATATTTCATATTAGCCATAAACTTTATGAATCAAAACTGCATCATAATGAATAACAGTATATAGTCTTGCAGTGATAATAGTTAAATTTTAGAATGAAAAACGACAACAAAAATTTAATACAAATACATATTTAATGCTTTAAGCCAGTGATGTCAAACTGGTGGCCCGCAAATGTACTTATTTTAATACAGTGCTTACATATTTCAATTTAGCATAAATTCAGTGGGCAGTAGATTGCAATACAGTGTTTCTTAAAAAAATTTTAAAATCACTAGCATATATTTCACAAGTCATCATACTCTAATTGAGTTCAGTTCATCATACTCTAATTGAGTGCTGGCATATATCTAAAAGTACATATGCAATGCCTACATAACAATGCTCTGACAGACTCACAAAAGAAGGTAAAAGAAAGGACATTAATTACACATATCAAGGAATGACAATTTAAGATATAAACAAACATTAGAAACGTGGATTGTGTTCATATGTGCAATTAATCGAATAAGTAAATTTATGATGACAGTTACATGAAAAAATTACAGACTTTGTATGATTTCATGCCATGCCACATGCCTAGACTAAGGTAACACAATCAACAAATTTATTCGCCAGCCCAAAGTTGATAAAATTTTTATAATCTGGAGTGCCTGTTTTCCACCTATTGAGTTGATACTTTTACTTTCTTTGAGAAAGTAGATGGTTGAAAATTAACAAGTCTAATAAAAGGATTATCTTCCAGCAATTTTTCTCCAAGGTTACAAACTTTATTAAACACGAAATGCCATGAGGTGCCTACTTGTAAAAAAATGCATAATTATTTATATACAATTGTATATACTTTTTTTATATGTGCCATTAAAGTTTTAATATACAAAAGAACGAGAACAACAGAAAGTGCATAAGCATTGGTATTTATTCTTAAGTTTTGTTCTACTGGTGAAGCTTTCTGTGAAAATTTGGTAAGTTTTCATAATTTGTTTATATTAATATTGAATTTTTATAACATACATTATACAGTCCTTAATTCAAAATATTACAATTATTTGAATTAGATATCAATCCAAAAATTTAGTATTTAGTTGCTAATACATTTGAATTATGAAATGGAACCAACAGAAATTTGTTAAATATATAAAATAAGGATGAAAAATTTGAAATTTTTCCCTTTGTGCTCTTAGTACTATTATTTGCTTATGTATGTTTTTATAAATATTTAGCAAGTGAAATTTAAAATCAAGCTTCCTTTCTTTTTTCTGCTGACGAGACAGGCAGTACGCTTACGAAAGGTGCCTGTCAACAACTATAATTCTTTTTGAGTGCCTTATATCGAGCTCCCCAAAGTCTGCTTTTGCAAGGGAAAGTGAGTGAAGGGAAAAAAAAAATGGAAGGTGAACTATAAAGGCAGTAATATTTTGGAGGGGGAATGGGAACAATGTGCAGGCTATGAAGCATTATCACTGGATGCAAACCGATCAATCATTCAAATAAGGAATTCTTCATGTTGCTGAATTTCTGTCACAAACAGCATAAATTTGTACATAAATACATTTTTATGTACATTTTTATAACCTCTAAAAATGTTGATGCACTCATCATTAATACAAATGTACAGATAGTGAATACTGCAGTTATTACAAATGATTGCACGTAAACATACAGTCACTATTAGATACATAAATCGGTTTGAATAAATATGCTGTTGCAAACAATCCTAATATAAATTTGCAGATACTCAGTGTCTTCTTACAGACACCATAAATTGGTAAATAAATACATGCGCACAATTATACACTTTGAAAGTTTATAAACCGGTACAAAATATACGTATTAATGGATAATTGCTAATGCAAATAAACCAAGTTCTGTTACAGAATTAAAGAAAATTTATATACACAGTCACTACTGAAATACATTAGCTAGTTCAAATAATATAGTTCAAATGTTGATGTGCGCATCGATCCTAGAGATGTCGAGATAGGAAGTTCGTTAGGTATTATAAATAAATTCTGTTAGATATTATAAATACATGTATATATACAATTATTATTAAAATACATTTGCTAGTTAAAATAAATATGTCGGTACAGACACTCCTAATATAAATATACAGATGCTCAGATTCTGTTACAGACACGATGAATTTGTATATGAATGCATGAATTTATACAGTCTTTGAAAAGGGAAATAATGAAAAAATACTAAACTTGTCAAGATCTGAACAGAAACAGAAACCCACAGTATCATTATAAGATAGTATTGCATACAAAAAATTGACATAAATGCAATAAGTATGTGCAAGTGGAGAAAATATACACTAATAAATAGCAATGCAAGTATTATGACACTGAAATAACAAACATTTGTATATGTACTCTGCGCCAAAAAAAGGGGGAGCAGTTCTATATCTTCCATTCTACTGGGCAGATTAACAAAATTAAACTTGCATTTTTCATCTCTTGTAAGCGCCACTCTGGATATGTATTAGATTTATATATAGCATTGTTCTAATACATGTAGTTTGACACAAAATTGGACTTTTTCTGAAATAGCATAAACATTTTCTTCAATATTTCGATTTTACGACTCAAATTACCCCAAACTACCAAGTTTTCTAAAAACCGCACAAATAGTTTTTAAAAAATTAGCCCTCAAAATTTTAGCTCCTCAAAGTTAATTGAGTTTGGTATATATTTATAACAATCTTTTACGATTTATTTTTAAGATTTGTATTTTTAAATAATTTTTGTAAATTTTTTTAAAAAATGTGAATTATAATCTATAAAATTTTTACTGTCATCTTAAAGTAAGATGTATTTCTAAGCATACCTGCAAAAAATTACACTTTTTTATTCAAAATTTCCGATATACGTGAATTTATATGTTGTCGCATTTTGAAATTAGGCATATTTGTGGAAAGCGATAAAACGTCAAATGTAGTTTAGACACTTTGCTAAAATTATTTGAAAGGAGGAACAATGTGACTTATTTTCCGCTCACACACAATGTAAAAAGGTAGGAACGAGGTGACTTTTTTTTCTGCAATGCAACACCAAGAAGGAGTGGTCAGAAAGTGATGGAATTTGGAAAAAAGAGAGAGACAGCAAGCAGCAGTAAGTGATCTTTATTTCAAAATGATAGAATACAGAGCAAGAACGGAGTCGGCTCAGTAGGATGTAGGACTACCACGGACAGCGATGCACGAAGTAACACGTCTGGGCATAGAGTCAATAAGAGCGTGGATGGTGTCCTGAGGGATGGCTTTCCATTCCCTTTCAACCATTTGCCACAGTTCGTCTTCTGAACGAGGCAGGGGCAGAGTCTGCAAACGGCGTCCAATCACATCCCACACATGTTCAATTGGCGACAGGTCAGGAGAGTACGGTGGACAGGGAAGTATCTGTATACCTTGCACAGCATGTTGGCAGATGTGAGCACTGTGTGGTCGGGTGTTATACTGCTGAAAAATTGCATTTGGCAGCCCCTGAATGTAGGGGATTGCCACCAGCTGCAGTACATTGTCCAAGTATCGTTGGGCCATCATAGTGCCCTGAATACGAACTAGAGGAGACCTGGAATCGTAAGCAATAGCGCCCCAAACTATTATGCCACGTTGTCACACGGTGGGGCGTTCCACGGTTACTGACGGATTAGATCTGTCTCCACATCGACGCCACACACGTATGCGGCAACTGTCACTGGATAAACAGAAGCGTGACTCATCTGAGAACATGACATTTCGCCATTCTGTCATCCACATCGCTCCAGTCTGGCACCATTCTAAACGTTAGCATCTGTGCTGTGGGGTCAATGGCAGTCTTCTTAACGGACGGCGTGAGTGCAGGTCACGTTCAACCAATCGACGGGAAATGATTCTGGTTGACACGGGAATATCTAGGGTATCTTGAACGTGCTGCAGAATCGCAGTACAAGTGACTTGGGGGACCACCACAGCTTGTTGGTGGATGCGTCGATCCACACATGCTGACGTCACTCTGGCTGCACCTGCATCCCTCTTTCTTCCCACATTTCCTTGTTCCAACCATGTTCGCCATAGCCGATGCACCATGCTCACAATCATGTGGGTATCAGCTGCGATTTAATGTAAGGACCAACCCGTCCTTCTCAGTCCGATCACCATACCCTTCGTAAAATCGTCTATCTGCTGGAAGTGCCTTCATTGACGGTAGCCTGGCATTCTCTCCTATTACACGTATCCTGCGAGACAAAAAACAACTTTCTTCGATAATTCGTCTGGCAGAAATAATGACACCAATACTGCCCGTTCCTTCTCTTATATCTTACTTCACATGCATCAGAAAGCTGTGCATTTCACATCATTTCCATAACTCAGTGATGTGCATTTGGGGGCACTGCTGGCCTTGGCCCACTAGAGCTGTTTCACCACTGAGTTTAGTTTAGTAGTTTAGTGTATATTAAGAACTTCGCCAAGTGAATTATTCGTGGCGCAAACTGAAAAAATTGTTCAAGATAAATTTTTTAATTTCTCCATAAATTTCACAACAAATTTTACAAAACTTAATATCTACACATAATTTGAGTTGTAGAATCGAAATATGGAGAAAAATTGGTATGTTGTTTTCAGAAAAAGTCAGAGTTTGTGTCAAAATACCTATGTTAGAACAATGCTATATATAAATGTTATATATA